TAATCATTGCAATGAAACAAAATATGATTGGTTGAGTGCAAACCAGATGTTCTCCCATGTAAACTATCACTCAATTCACAATAAAAGCTTAAAAAAAGGCAAGGGAAGAAAAGAAATAAACAAACAACCACCAAAAAATAACTAAAGGAAAAACAAGAAACAGTGCAGGTGCTGAATCGAGAGAGGAGAAAACTCTGGGGGCTCCTGCTAGTCAATGAGCTTACAAGGTGGGTAGGAGCAGAGGGATGGAGTTTCTATAGACCTAGGTGTTTCCTGCAGGACCATAGGGCAGTTAGGGTCATGCCATGAGAGCTCCTGCTAGTCCTAGACAGCCTGGCAGTTCTGTGGGTTCTGTATGTGTGTAGCAGAGACCACTTGAATCCAGGTGTCAAGGCGACACAGTCAGTGCCCACCTCACTGTGGCATGGCTCACAAAAGTATAGCTCTGAACTCTAGGACAGCAGGGGGTGAGAGTGGGGGTTGGCCACATCTCAGGTCACCAGGGAAGTATGGGGAACAAGACAGTATCATACTTTTCTGATTGCCAGCTAGCATGAATCTGCTTCACCAGTCCATGCATGTCTCCAAAGCTGCTAACAAAAGTTCAAAAGGGTCATGCTGCGTCTGTTCAGGAGACAGTTCACCAACCTGTCTCCCTCCTTCAGCATCCCTGCTCAGTTTTTCCTCCCAGTAAGTATTCAATCCACTTCTCTAACCTTTCCTCTAATGCTCACAGTTCCAAGGTTATCATGTGTGTGTGTTTCATGTGGTCTCCCTTATCTGTGTGTAGCGTGTCTTTTTAGCCCACTATTTTGCCAGAACTTCTGAGAAACACACTTTTATCTTTTCTTTGCCTGAGACATCTTGGGTTTCCTCAAAATACAAGCTTCCTTCAGATAAAGGAGGAAGGCAGATTTATAAATAACAAATTTTCATAGACATATATTGCCATGTCATGGCCATATTTCTCTCAGGAAGGGTTAATAGGACATTATCGCTTCAAAAGTAAGTCTCATTCTTGTGACAGATGCAGTTTTTTTTAATACAACCTGGGTTCTAGTCTTAACCTCTACCATTAACTGGCAAACTGGTCAACTTCTCTAAGCCTATGTATCCTCATTCAATAAATTGGGATAGCAGTATGTATGTGATAAAAACTCTCATGAGATTTAAAGAATAACTTCTATAAAAGTATTTTGTGAGCTACGAAATCACTGCACACATAACAGAAGGGACATAATTCTAGGAAAACCTGTGAAAAGAAGCCCTGTCTGTCTCACCCACATTGTATTGCCAGTAACAAGTGCTCAGTAATTATTTGTTGACTAAATATTTTTGTGTTTGTTAAATGAACAAATTATTCTTCTCTGAAAGTACAGATCTTTAATGTTAATTAAAATACTACTTGAGCTCTTAACAAGTACAATTCTTAATTTTTTATGTCACTCAAAAAAGAAAAATGTTGTGAAGAGAGAAACCATAGCTAGTCACTTCATCTAGGTCAAAAATTAGATCCCTCTTTGCTATAGTAAAACAATTTCAACTAAAACCAATGTACTCTGTGAACTTTCACCCAAATCTTACACACATACACACATATACACATAAATCTAACTAGAAGATAAGTTGTATATTCAGAATTAAAATTTTTAAGGCCCTTTCCCCATGAACAAAGTAAATACACAAAATATATTTAGTATTTAAACCACTAACCCTACCACATCAAATGAAAGATTCTTCACAGTGGATTCTGGCTAAAGTATTTTATTAAACTAATTATGTAATTTGAAAATGGTTCATAAGAAAATTTAAAAGTTATAAAATTTTTTCAATAAAAAAGTACACAGTTAACAGCAAAATTAATTTTCTTTATAGTACAAATACAAACATTTTGTTTCTGCTATATTAACTGAAAATCTTATAATATGTTCTCTAACTGATAGCTGCAATGTTATATTTTATTATAAAATTTCATGGTTAATCCAACCACTATGTTAATAACAGGCTCATTATTTGGACCATAAATATCAAATATTCACTATTAAGGAAAATAATAATAAAATTCGTCAGTAGAAAATGTGAAATTATACAAGGCTCTTCAGGACATAGATGTCTTGTTTCTCTATTAAATTCTGTAAAGAGGTGTTAATAATACTGTAAACTTGAAGTACAATTGAAAAATAAGCACCATTGGCATACAGTCCACATAAACTTACACCACCTTTTAAATGACATTTTTTTGGACACACAAACATTTATATCTATTTTCTTTATATGTAAATAAAAATAAACAATATTTAATCACTACACAGGAAAAACACCAAATTTCAACTCATTGCACAATAGGAGGGAAAAAAAAAACACCTTAAAACAGCACTTGGAAGAAAGAGCACATGTTATTTTTGTCTCTTTTTTTTTGATACATTTTGCCATTTTCTTAAATTGAAAACTGTGTTAAAACATTGTCAGAGCAATTTCCTGAGTTTAAAATTTTTCTAATTTTCAAATCAGAAATAATCAATCCTGCTATTACACATGTCCCTTTTCTAAGCATACAAAAAGAGTTTAATTCAAAAAGTAAACGACCAAATAAAAAGATAGGAAAACATCCCAAAAGAATTGTTTGGCTTTTTTCTCCCTTTTTCCAGACTGTGTCATAATATTCAGGATACTTTAAAGTGAGCCACAACCTCTACTATAAAGTATGTCTTCTATTTAAGGGCCACAGAATTGTAAATACTAAGGGAATACTAATAAAGAAACATCAAACTTGAAGAGTAACATAGAAGCATGTGAAGAGCCAATAATGTTATGAAAACATGCTTCCATTTCTCATGTTTGGGTAAGAAGATGGAAAGATTGAAAATACTATTAAAAGTACTAACCCACCCCCACCCACCCCATGGTTCCACATTAGTTTTTTGGGGTTTTTTCCTTGTAAATACCAATCAGAGACTATTGAAAACACATCAGTATTATGAGAATCTTCCATACTATAAAAGTGATATATTTTTTACCTCTGGCATTCAGGGTTTAGAAATAAGTGAAGAAAAAAGGGAAGATTATAAAATTCTCTTTCATGTATCATTTCAATCAGTAAGGTAAGAGTCCATTTAGGTTTAAACACCTTCACAAAAATCCATTATGATGTTCAAAGTTTGCCAACATATTTATTAGTAATGATTAAGAACAATGCTGGTAGACCTACCAAAATAAGGCATAAAATTAAAGTTGACACATGGCTTCTTTCACTTGGTTTCTACTATTAGAATACCTCACGTCAATTCTCTTTTTTTACTTTCCTTTAATTCACCAGCACTATAATAAAATTGAAGAAAGTCTAACTAAAGTACTCAAAAATAATCTAAAAACATTGGGTTATAAAATATAAAAACAAAGAAAATGTGTATATAAACAATCCAGTAATCAGGTTTTAATATTATTACTCATGTCTTAAGTCATGTCAATTTGTACATAAAAATGTTTGTTTTCTTTAACTATCAGTTGCAGTTTTATATTAAGTCATTGAAAAGAACTGTTTTGTTTTCAATATACACAACTCTTTCAGACAGTACAAAAATGTATACTAAATTGCTGGCATTTTTTCAGGTTTTTTTAAATAAATTATTATAAACAGAAAAACAATAGTTTTATACCAATCACTAATCATTTCCAAATAATAAATATATATTCTGATTGTTGTGAAAATTAAGTTCATTTATAAGGCTCTTATTTTAAAAGCATGCATTCACAAAATATAAAAACTTTTTTTTTAATTTTATTTTCATTAAAATGTTTGCTCAGTAGGGAAACCATTTTGTGTTTTATGATTCTTTCTGCAACAGCTCAGTTCTATAATAATTGATTCAAATGATTTTTTAAGCTAAAAAAAAAAGGTAACACAATTGTTTGCTAAAATTATTTATGTTGAAAATATTCTCCATCTCTGTGGTTAAATGTATTTAAGCCACTGTCTCATATTGGAAAATTATACTTTAACACATTAAACTTAGATAAAGGAAATTATAACTTATACTACTTAGAATTATTAGCTCACCAAATAAAAGAAGTCAATGAGCATTCCCTTTCAGAAAGTTGGCTCTTTATAAAAATAAAAGTAAAAAAACCTTCAAAAATACGATTCCTTTTAAGATTATATAGAAAATGTTTTCAATATTTGTTTCAAGTTAATAGGATTTTTACTTACTGCAGTTTAGAAATTACATGCCTCAAATGTAAAATAAAGCTATTTAATACTGTCTTATATACCACGTACACAGTTCTAGAAGCAATTCTAGAAAGCAGCAGCATGTGATTGATCTCTAGCCTTTGTCCATCTCTGAATATGTTTCTGCCTATGGGTGGTTTAACCCTGTAATATAACTTCAGACTCAACTTTCCTCTAAAAAATGTATCACACTTAGAGGAAAGGGACAAAAGGTAAGAGATAAAGATCACAGAAAGGAGAAAAAAGTGCAACAGCATATCTTCCTTACTGCAAGATATGGTAAAATGTAGTGGTTTTATGTTGTTTGTTATTTTGAAATAAAAAAGTATTCAAGTGTTTTTGTTAGATCTCATTTCTTAAATATTACCCCCTTAAAATTTTTCTTTTTTTTTTTTTAGTTACAAGACTTTGGAGGGCATGAACCCCATCTCAAAGCACAATGGATGCCTTTCACTGAAGCCTTTCGGGCTTCATTAACATCAAACCAGTGAAGCAAAGGGTAACATTTTCTCTCTGAACTATTAGAGGATATCAAACTCTTAAAACTGGGGCTGAAAAATTTCACAGACATTTTAACATCAGTAAAAATCCTCTTATAGGCAAAATATTTAGCGTGTGATTCGGTAAAAAACTAAACTCTGAAAAACTTTGGTTTTGCAACAGGACATTTTCTAATAAAGCATTCGGTTACAGTAGAATTGACTAAATTACCACAAATAAAACTAATTTTTACCTATAAATTATCACATTCCTTTTCCAAGGATGCTTATTTTTACTTTAGTATGACTTTCAAGCACCCTGGTTTAATTTCAGAGAACCTGCAAAATATGAGAAAAAAGTTATCTTAACGATAAAACGTTCCATTCTCTAAGCGATATATCCCTATAATCAATTCCAGCTTCCTATACTTACTATAATAGCCATCATCAAAATCATCATTAAAAACTAATCATATCCAGGAATTACCAAAAGACTTATCTGCTGTATCAGAGCATACAGCTCTGTTTATGTTTCTTTTTAATCTAATGCCCAAACAAATATAATCCTAACGTTGGGGGTGACTTCTAACTGAAATTAGGCGTGTTGTTGTTGTTGTAAAGCACTGTCAGTTTTAACTCATAGTGACCGCAGTGGGTTTGGAACTGCTGACCTTGTGGTTCACAGTCCAGTATTGATCCCACAGCACTACACCAGGAGTAGCGACTGGAATTTTCAGAGTCCTGGTGTGGCGCTGTAGGATCATCATTGGACTGCTAACTGCAAGGTTGGAGATTCAAACTCACCAACAGCCTCTCCTCAGTAACCCTACAAAGGGTTGCTATGAGTCAGAATTGACTTGACAGCACTAAATAATTGACTTGACATCACAAAACCAAAATTTTAAAGATTTTCCAAAATCTCTCAAGTCTGAAAAGCCTGAATTTGACCTTCGCAAAGAATATGAACCCTGGTGTAGCACCATAGGATAAGCACTGGACTGGTAACCATAAAGTAGCCAGTTCAAACCCACCAGTCACTCTTGGAAACCCTGTACAAGGTCACTATATGAGTCTGAACCAACTTGACTGAACCCAACAACAACAGAGAAGAAGTCTGCATTACAGCAGTTCTGGGTATTAGGTCAGTACCAAGCAGAAATCTCTGATACAGCAGGTAAGTCTGATTCATTTGGCCATGCAACGCCACCATATCTCTCAATGTGAAACTTATACTGTCAAATAGTACTTTATGACACAGCATATGCCACACTGATTGAAATTAGGGGTGGGGAAGACAATGATATTCTTACTTAGATTCTATTCATCAACAGCTCTTTACTCTTGGACTTTTCTACCACTTAATGCCATGTCTGTCAACTAGATCACTAGTGCACTTAACTTGTGGAAATGTATAAAACCCAAATATAACCATATCTCAGCATTAACCTCTTCATTCAACCCAAAATCCACAAATACATTGTTTCTTTCAAAACAACAGCAATTTTTAAACTACAATAGGGTTTAGTCTCATTAATCACCAGAGCCTCTAATGGATAATACATTATCCAAAAATATATATATATATATAAATATGTTGTTGTTAAGTGCCATCGAGTCAGTTCTGACCCATAGCGACCCTGTATAGGGTTTCCAAGGAGCAGCTGGTGAGCTTGAACTGCCAACCTTTCAGTTCAAATGGCTTTGCAGTCTGGCACATTAACCCACAGCGCCATACACACATATATATATACATGTATCTTTTGAATTTTTAATTTATGCTACAAATAGGATTACTTCAATACCAAACATGTTTGTTTTTCTTTTATTTCTGGTCTACTAGACAAGAGCCCATCCTTGTGTGGTGTTGTAGGATAAGCACTGAGCTGCAAGGTCCATTTGAACTGCAAGGCTGGTGACTCAAACTCACTAGCTGCTCCTTGGAGGGCCCTATACAGGGTCGCTATGAGTCAGAAGCAACTTGAATGTACTTAACAACCAAAATAACAGACAATAGTCCTGGTGTAGCACTGTAGGATACACAGTGAACTGCTAACCACAAGGCTGGCAGTTCAAATCCACCAGCCACTCCTCGGAAACCCTATAAAGGGTTTTTATGAGTTGGTACAACAATAACAGACAACAGAAATCTAGTAGGGAAGTTATATCATAATTTAAGCATAAATTAGGGGCAGGAGTCAGATGGTTACATGTAGTTAGCTATTTCAACTAACTGTTGAAGGCAAACCATTAGTGTTTACCCAGCTATATATGGGCCATACCACTATCAGTAACAGAAATCTATACTCACCTGAAGTTATGACTTGTGAGGTATTTAATGACAGCTGGTTTGATGCGAGCAAGGCCTCCCTGGCTGTGGTTTCCCCGCCCGGTAATCACAGAGAGATAAGGCTTACCACCATTCTGCCTAAATTCTGTTACAGAAGGAATTGCAATACAGTTATCTTATGCTTTCAACAGAAAACTTTAGCTCAAACACATATAAAATTGCTTTCTTGATGATATGAGATTTATTGCCATTAAAAGCCTAAAAATTAATGTTGCAAAATGTAAGTTTTATCTACACTGCAAATATGAAACATTCATAGCAAGCCATCCATCTAAAGAGTTACGCAGACGTCTTCCCCTGCGGGGAGGGTGATTTCAGTGCCCCACCAGAAGGTCTGAGATGATAATGACAAAGATAATACTGATGATACCCATCAATTATGGTATGCATGGAGTCAGGCACTTGTACTTGTTAACTAAGAATCTTCACAACATCCTAGACATACTGTGAAGGCATCAAGTTTTGGTCTGAATTACAGCTCTGTCACTAAATAAATGACCTGTGTCTTTGTTTCTCTGGGTGTTTCTTCATCAGTGAAATGAGATAACAATGGCAACTGTTTTACAGACATTGCCCTTGGAAACAGCTATTAGCAAATGACTGCAGTCCTACTATTAAGGGTAATCAATTTCTGTTCACTTAAATTCTTTCAGAAAAGATGATTTTTAAAATACCAAATGAGTCTGGAGTCCTTTGAAATATTGAAAGGCTACAATTATTGCTTTTGGAGTGAATTTGAGAAAATCAAGTATAAGAACTCTGAAAATCAATGAACAACTACCAGAGATTAACAAAAACTGTTAATAATAAGAATTAACTTACTGAATTTAATAGTCGATTCTTGTTCACAAATAACCTGAGTTTTATCTTTAGCATAAAACACATGTACACAGAATGTAAACATTACATATTTTCTTCATGAAGCTGCTGTAAGACTCCAGTTGAAACACAGACAAATGGTTTTATAAATCTTATGTGTCCAAAGCAGTATTTAGCCTTTCCCTTTAAAAGGGCACCCTGCTGTTCTTGCATTTCTCTTACCCTTGTTTAAGATCTTAATTTCTACTTTGATCCACGTCTATTACTTTGTTTCAGACCGTGTAG